AGGTGGGATGCTTGACATACGTCTGTTAACCTGCGTTGCTTCCCTATGTAAGGTGAACTAGAAGTGGTGCTCTAGCTGCTGCCTTGCCCAGGAACAAGGTCTGGTCTACAAGCGGGTCAGCAGTAGCTTGCTGCAATGCGAGCGCTGATGTCCCCCAGGAGCCGCTACCTTGCAGGGAGCAGCTGACTGATGGGAACTTACCCCCATGAAAAGCAGAAATTAACTGCTGCCAAAGCAGATATGCCCAGCTTCTCTCAGTTTAAAACTGCAAATTTTGAGTTGTTTGAAGTATGAAAATTCTTTCCCTCTTGCTTTAAGCACTGAACAGGTATTTACAATAATGAGAGCAGGGGTCTGCTTCCCCAGGAGAGCACTCGCTGGGCTCAGAGCCCCGCTACACCTTGACACCTTTGCATGCATCCAAACTGCCTCATCTCTAAAACACACCTCATTGCAGTGACTATCAGGGACAGAAATAAAAAACCCACAAAACACATGCACATGCTCCCCACCACCACTACCACCTTCGCAGGAGGAGATCCCTCATTCTCTCTGCACAGGATTTAGTCTCCGTCATCAAATTCCTCTGCAGTTTTTCAGTTGCTCAGTTTACATTGCCTGGGCTCCTCGCCAGCCAGGCACTGCATCTCGCTTGCTGTCCACCCAGCTTCACGCCTGCTTCCCAGCATCCTAGCCCACCCGCTCCCCCTGTGAGCTCAGAGATGCAGTCTGGGCTTCTCAAAGCACCTGTTTGGCTGGAATCCGGTTTTGTCCCTAATTAGAATGAAATCGAATAGCTTCAAGATTTCCCTGAAGGATGTTTTCAAGCTGGTTTCAAATATGATTTCAAATTACCATATGAGAATTTCAGCATTGTTACAGTTGTTTCTATTTTTAGGTCTCTGAAAACAGATAGCAAAATACTGATGACATCAGCATTTGACAGGTGTCAACTTGTTTCACTACCAAATGGATGCTACATGGTCTAGAAAAGGAAATAAAAATCTCAGACTATAATGTATAGCTTGTATGTGATAATGTAAAGCTTATTGAATATTGTGGCAGGGGTGGACTAGATAGTCTCTGGAGGTCCAGAGAAAGCCTTTGATGATTCTCTATGTTGCTCTCAAATGTCAGTAGTGGCAGTAAAGCATCTTGAAATAGGGAGGGAAATATTGACATAAGTGAAAAATTTTCTACATAAAATTAGGAGCGAAACATCAACATTCTCTGAAATGCTTTTTCTTAAATGAAAAATTTCTCCCTAATTTTTTGTTTAAAATTTGATGAAACCCATGCAATTTCTGACAAAAAGCCATTAGGAGGAAAAATATATTGAATTCAGCCAGTACTATCCAGCTCTTCCTCACTATTTTATCTACCTCCCTCCACTATCCAATAGCTGATTGCTTTGTGAGTAGCTCCTTCAAGCCTCCCTTCATATTGCAGACTTTCCACATCATTTTAGCACTTTCCTGCTGCATGCCACAGGTAACCAGCTCTCCTATGCTTCACAGGCACTTTTAATTCCTGCAGGGTGTTTGCGGGCCAGGCAAGTTCAAGCACCATCATGCCAGGTTACACCTCCTAAAAACCCTGTCAGCTCTGCAGGTTTGCATCCTCCCACTCCGGACCACACATCCCGCATCATGTTTGCAGAGATAAGAGTGCCCTCTGGGCTGCATCTGGGCTCCAGGCCCCCATTTGGCCTTCTGGGATTTATGCCATCTGCTTACTCGTTGGGGAAGGGGGTAGGGAACACCAGTCCTGACTCAAGCCCCGCAGCAGCCCAGCATCGCCACCCCGGCGCAGCCCGCTGCTGTTTATGCATTCCTTTTGTTGGAGACCTGGCAACCAGCTTTTAATCTGAGCCCAGTGTGAATTAATTTTGGACTAAGCTTTTGTATCAAATGCTTTCCTAAGATGTAGCTATATTACATCTGCTGCACTCCCTTCATCCACTAATTTGCTAATTCTACCAAAAACAAGCATATGCTTTTCTGACACACAACTTTCACAATGGAGTGGAGCAGAGGAATAAAGGGCTTCATTTACTCATGCAAACAAGTTATCTGAAGCCTGATCTTGTTCTCACTGAAGTCAGAAACAAAATATGCATTGACTTCTGTGTGAGCTATCTTGGACCTTGGGGTCTGATCCAGCACTTGAGCCTGATTCTGCCAGTCACTTGAACACTTGCTGAAGGCAGGGGCCTGCCAGGGTGTCATCCTCCCTGGTCTCTGACATCAGAGACTGCTGGAAAGAAAAATGACTGTTATGCTACAAATAGCATGATTGAGTCACTTTGCTACAGGATCAGCTCAAAGGAGGGGGAAGTGACTGGTGAAAAGGTAGCAGGAGACAGAGCAGAGCTGTGGTATCTCGCTCAGGGAAAAACAAACAGGCAAACAAAGGAAAAGAAACAGAAATTGCCTCCTTTGGCCTTCTTCCATCAGGGCAACTCCATTTTATGAACCATTCCAAAAAATGCAGGAAAAGACAAGAACAGGCTTCAAAACACAGGGAGGACCTGCACTTTTCTTCTTGTTTGCAGGACAAGCATGGGTGCATTTTTACAAAGATAAAGGGAACACAGGTGAATATTCAATGACTGTTTTCTTACCTGCTTACACCTGCTGTGCACGTGGTTATGTATTTTTGAATAGGATCGCAGTTATTTGCACCTGCAAAACTGCACCTAGCACTTCTGTTGTCAGCAAAATTGCAGGTGCAGGAGTCAGTACAGAAAGCAGCCCTAAAGAAAACATTGCCCATATCACTATGAATAAAGCTAGAGGGACTTCAAGCATTCAGGGCACCTGGCTTGTCCCCCAAAACTCCTGTGTTTTCAGGATAGTAAAAGCCAGCCATCCTGACCTGAGGTACAGTTCGGGAACAGGAGCCACAGCTGCTCAGTGCTTTGTTTTTGCAATTGCCTTTTTCTCCAGGGACAAGAGAGCAGCTTCCAGGAAAACCAGCCAAAAGTTAAAACAACACAGGCAGCTCTTACTATGGCCCTGGAAATAACAGGGGCAAACAGCTGCCGTTTTCTTTCTTTTGGCCTGGATGCAATTTTCCTCATCTCACCATTTACACAGGTCACATGAGGGAGCAGAGCTCGTTTCCCGAGCTTCTGGGCCCCACAGGAGGGGAAGGGAAGGGGCAGTGCAGGAGGTGCTTGTGCAGTGTCCCAGCCTGAGCCAGCTCGAGTGCAAACCCTCCAAGGACTTCCACTGCCTGTCACCTGTGCTGCAGGGTTCACACTGCTCATTATTTGAGCTGACTAAATGGCAGCTCATAAAAATATACCAGCATTTCTGCTTCTTTTGCTGTGCAGGTGTGTGCAAAGATTTCTCACCAGCCTGGGGGAGGCAGCTCTATGCTCAGGTGGGCTGGCTCAGCAGCAAAGAGCAGCCTGAGCTTAACAACACGCTTTGCCCCCTCCTTTCCAACAGGCTGAATTTATGCTCCTACCTACCCCAAGTCAAAGCATCTTCTTGCCTAGCTTTCACTCTTGTTTTAACACAATGAGGAAAATTGGGGTAGTCAGCTGTGGGAAAGCTGCAATCTTTCTGTCAGTAAAGCTGGCTCAGGGCTTCCTTGCAGTATCAGCCAAACAACATCACTGGCCCAAGGTAGAGAGATGGATGTACCTGTCCCGGGAAGGGAGAGGCATAACTGGAAGAGAGTCACACAGTTGGGCTTGTTGCACCTTTTGCTGTCTCTGGGCCTGGAGCAAGAGACACCCACTAACTGGAAGGAAAAAGTAGTACATACATCACCCCATGTACCACAGCCTGTCCCTCAGCACCAGCAGTGACTGCTGCTCTTTTGGCTTCCCAGGGCTCTGCCATAGGCAAAGCACTGGGAACAGCCACCTTGCTGCCATGGCAGGATGATGCCCCTGGCAGCCTCCTACTTTGCTATGCCTACACCCAGCCTTACCCTCCCCAAAACACCCCTGCTACTTAAAGAGGAGGAAAAAAAATCATAAAAAGTCAGACTTTGCCACAAAACATGAAACAGCAGAGGAACTGATACTGTAAATGGGAAGTGTGGGTGTACCCTCTTTGAAGGAGAAAGGTCTTTCCTCCCCCTTTGCTGCACTGGGACGTAAGCCCAGAGCTGCTATCACAATCATTTGTGAATGTGGAGGCAGGTCTAAAAAGCCAGCTGTGAATTTTGGTAGTCAAGAAGGAAAAAAAAAAACCCTAGGAGAAAAGCTCAAAGCAGACAAATACAGGGTTGGGAAAATCATTGCCTAGATTTCAGCTACAGCATCCAAAACCTGCAGTCTTACCAATAGCTGCAAACTCCCCTTTTAGCCCTCTGCCCCCTCCATTTAACTTTCTTACCTACCCTAGCATCTCCACATATCCAGATAATACAGTAAGGCCAACCTTTGCCACCTCCACTGCACACAAGCACAGCACTTTCAAAGGCTGTGGACTTGCCTATGTTAACTTATTCCAGACACCACAAAAAGCCTCCTCACTCAGGACCATTCCCCTACTAGATATCAACTTTCAAGCCTCAATCTTCAGAATTGCTCTGGTAAAGAGATTTTTTGACAGCACTAAAACATGTCTCCTATCTCATACTCAAAAATTACTAAAGTGATCTGACTCAAATGCTACAGAAATTCAGCCTTAGATACAAGAGTAACGAAGTCTCATATCCATAGGCCAAACTTGCAGAAGATTATAAGCAACTGAAAATGGGTGTTTCAAATGGAAGTTATGCAACATGAATGACAGTGACCTGAAACGCTCAGAGCAGACTTTTCCTATCTCCAACATTTGTCTATAGCAGCGCAGGAAACTTTGGAGCGCTGAAGGAAACAATCATTTCCAGCTTGGAGAAAGAAAAAATACTTAAAACTGTGCAACACTTGAGTATCTTTTGGGTCTTTGCCTTACCAGAATATCTTTGGAAATGGGGGAAGTTTAGATGAGATGTCATTCTCGACTGCAACCAACAAAGATTCCCCTTAGACTTACCTCAGGCCATACAGGACAGTCCCATCAGGATGGAGCCGAATCATGCGATTCTTCACCGTCACCCCATGCAGAAAGGACTTCTTGTCATTCAGGAAATAAGTGTCAGGCAGCCACAACTGGTCAGCCACCCGGTTGTCCAGGGTCAGGTTGAGAGGAAGGTCGTTATATGCCAGGCGTTTGTCCCGCCAGCTCTGCTGGAAGTACATGGTGATGGTATAGTCCTGGGAGAGAAACATGCAAACGTCAGCCTGGCTCCAGGGTAGGGACATAATTCAGTCCCTTCACTACTGTCACTGCCAAGACCTCTGGTGGGTCTCCAAATTCCTTGGCACCCAAATGTTTGTTTCTGCACCTCCACCAGCTGGGGGGACTGTGCTTTGTTCTGGGAAAATGGAAAAAATTCTGAGCTTTGTAGGGGACAAAATGACATTACATGACTCCAATCAAACAAAACTGCATCCTCACTCATGTTGTCCCAGCCTGCTTAGAGTTTGGCTGCAAAACTAGTGGTAGTTAGGACTACGATAGCACTAAAGGATGTCAACCAACAGTGGGCTACACCACACCAAAGACTTCAAGGATTGATCTCCCAATAAAGTCACATAAAGGTGTCTGGACACAATACAGTCACGCTCAGCCACTGCTTGTTACCACGCAGTTGCTAAAAGCCAATTTTATTTTGAGCAGAAACTCAGGAGATTCCCAAGGGCACATGGAGAATCTCACCTCGAGGCCAAGGTTTCAAAGTCAACCCAGGCCAGCTGTGACAAGCTATTAGCACTTGCCTTGTTATAGGAGCTAAGTTGGGAGTTCGTTGCGATTCTCAGGAAGGGACATATGTGGAGGAAATCTGTCACCAGTGGAGCACGATCCACTAGTAAAGAGGCAGTTCCCTAACCATCCCCAGCTAGCACAGTGCCATACATATCTCCTGCTCCTCTCCTGTTCAATAGTAAAAAGTTGACAAAACTGCTGCTAAAGACAAGAATGTTATAGAGGGCAGGGAGAGCTGTTTGGTGGCCCACAGCTGTAGCTCTGCAGAAACCATACCAGTTGCTGGACAGTAACAGCACATCCAGGGGAGATCCAGAGGCTCCAGATAAGCTTGTTCAGAGACACAATTTTGTGGTGCCATATTAGAAGAACAGTTATTTCTTCTCAGGAAAGGGAATAGTACAGGAAGGGGTCTTGTACACACAAATGACAGAAAACATTCTCACAACAGGTCTTAAATAGGCTAGGAGCTAAGATTTTTTGGGGGTAAAACAGCTAGCATTAAAATAACAGGACGTTGATTAGGAAGTGGGCACAAGTCTTGCTGACAGTGGCCTTACAGAAGTCAGTGATTTTTCAGAAGTCCTTAAATAAAAAGCATTTCTGCAAGTGCATGCAGATGATCTAGAACAGGTGGAGCCAGAGACGCATTTTCTTTTCCCAAGTAGATACCTACAGTGCCACAGGAATCCTCCTGACCACACAGATCTGCATTTCTGCTCTGCAAATTTCAGCTCTGTGCAAGGGGCTGGTGAGGACCTTGCTAATGCACTAACATCTGGGCTGAGCACAGAGGCATCCTGCTTGCCTGCCTGTCTTCTCCCACTGACTTCACTCGAAGTCAGGTTTGATTAGCACCTCTGAAAACAAGCTCAAATAATCCCACATTATGGGTATGCCAGCTTTCGGGTATCTAACTATGATTCAGAAATCTAGATCCACATTCATATCTGAAAGGTCACAGAGTAAATCTGTGGTGTAGACTGGATACAAAAGCTATATCTGTCACTTTCTGTGTTATATTGAAAAGAACAAAAACACAGTGACAGCTTTCTGGCCAAGAAACTGTTTTGCTTTGCTTTTTAAAGGACTGCTAAACTCCTGCCTCAGAAACCTCACAGTCCATCTCTCAGGGGCACAAACATTTTCATTTTGGTCAAGACCTTGCAAAGGAAAATGTTCTCCCCAGTACCCCTCCCAGGGTGTTTGGACCTGCATTGCAGTGAGAGCATAGAGGAGCACAGTGCCTGAGTTCCTGGAGCCTCTTACCCTCCTTGGTAACAGACTCTTGCCTTGCCTGTGGGAAATGGCTACAGAGGCATCATTTCCATTCTCCCCCCTTTGAGAATTCCACCCACACATCTGGGCAAGCTGTTTCACTGACCTGCATTTTCCTAAACCTTGACAGAGTCCTGCAACACCTCACCCCTAACCAGGCCACTCTGCTGTCATTGCAAGCTCCTGCCAGCCTTCAAGCAGCAGACAAGAGGTGGCACTGATTTCCAGAAGTTAAAAAGGGCAAGCTGCTTACAAAGTGAACAGTTGTTAGCACTGAAGAGATAGACCTTCTAAACACATCTTCTGTATTTCCAGGATTGATAGGAACAAACTCAGAAGGGTGCAGAAATAAAAGCCTACACCCTAGCCATCAGGCTGATGATGTTCTTCAAGTGCAGAGACCTTTCTGGGGAAGAACAGCCAGCCCAGCCCTGGGCTGAGCTCTGTTCTCCAATCTTCCTGGGTTTCTTGGCACAATAGATTTCTTTGGGCAGCATCATGGAAGTCTAGAGCACTTGATAAACATGGTTCATCTAGTGCCTGAGGTTTCCCTCAGCCCCTCTCTCTGCTGATTCCTGTGCTCCACTTCTCATTCTCCTGCTTTCCCTACCCCATCACATCGTTGAACAGTGGGCAGGATTTCTGGGCAGAAGGAAAAGAGCAGGACAAGTGTCCACCCCACAGAGGTTGGTCCTCCCCAGGAGGACAGGTGGTGCTGACATACTGATGGGCACAGCACTGAGCTATGGGGAAGAGAGATGCTCTGCCTTCAGGCCCCTGGGAGAAGGCAGGGCACAGACCAGGGGGCTGGAGGAAGCACTGATATGGCCCACTACAGCAAGTGAGAGGGACCAGTACTCAGGGGAGAAAGCAGTGAGTTTGCCTTCCCCTTTATACCCCATAGTCTGGTCAGACAATTATGAAGTACCTGCATGACACCCTAGCATCACCACCTGGCCAGGCTCCAGAGCTGATGAGATCTTAATCATAGCCTTCCTTTCAGAGGCAGATAAAATAATGACCAAGGGTGACATCGTTCTGCAGAAGCAGAATGGCCAGATGGAGGCAATGCATGCAGTGGTTCCTAAGTTCAGGAATCAGAAGTAATAAGCCTGATTTTCCTCCAAGTCTTGAACGACATTCCCTTTGTTGTAGGGTTTTATCTGTCATTGGGCTAACATGAGGCTTTCCCAAACCACCCAGTAACCAGTGACATTCACAAGCCTACTGCCACAGATATACAAGCTGGGTTTCCCAGCATCACCAGCAGATAGAAAGTTGGCCCATTTACCAGGCTCAGTGAAGACCTTCAAAACCAAACACACCTGGAGCCCATGCACCCCTCCAGCTTTTCCTTCCAGCTCACCACTGAAGCACTTTAGTGGGACAACACAGCTGAATTTCCCTGCCACCTGTGTTAGGTATAAGCAAAGGGGCTTTCTCTGTGCATGCGTACCCAGTAAGCAGCTTTCTATACTGCTGCTGCTGCTGGAGGAGCAAGCAGGTGGTGCAGGGAAATATGACTTTCCACTTGCCTCTAAACTAGCAGCCTAGACCCTCTCTGCACTGCACCAGTGCAGCTCCAGTAGCAACAAAAATGTTTCCAAATTTCCTGTTATAGATTCCACTGGGTCTTTCTGGAGGACCATAAAATGCTCATCCAGGGCCAGAGTCTGGCCAAGGCCAGTCACTGGTGTGGCAAGGATGGGAGAGCTTTGCAGAGAGCTCCCATCTTACTCTGCCAGATACACCTACTGCATTGGGGAGAAAAGGTAGGACCCACACTGGAGGAAGCATGCATGTGCCAGGCCACCCTGTGTAACCTCCTGCTTCATTTGGTGGCTACTGGGGGAGGAGAGGCAAGCGTGAGAGGAAGGGAGATATCACACCTCATCAGAAGCTCCGTGCAGGTTGCACTGCAAAGACCTTTGGAAGTTGTTCAGTGTGAACTTAGATTTCAGTTTTTAAAAAACACAGGCTGGGACAAGGGAAAGGGGGCTTCTGAAAGGTGGACATGACCAGAAGTTATGTACCTCCACCTGGTCCTCTGTTTTCCACCCCCTGGAAAAGCAAACTTTCCAAAGATACCTACAAACTTTCTCTAGCTAGGCTTTGCTACTGTAGCTTAATTGGCTATGTCAGCCTGTACCTACCCTGACCAGCATCCCACTGTGGGAAGCTGAAACACTGTAGTCAACAGCGCTGGCAAGGGGAAAGCCTGTTTCAGACCCAGATGAGCCCTGCCGAGTCTCACTAATCTACAAACCATATACCCCTTATGCCAAAAGAGCTTGTATGTTTTGAAACAAGCTGTTCCTCTCTCCTCCATCTCTGCTAGCCCAGGGGTGGCCAGATCCCTTGGTTTGTCCCAGAAGTCCAGTACCCAGTAGCTCACAAGCTGCACAGCTCCAGTGCAGCTTCCAGCCCTTTTATTTACCGCAGTACTCCTATGCTGCCCTCCCTGCCTTGCAAGGCAGACCTCATGGCCCAGCTGTGTGCAGGACCGCACTCAGCACCACAGCTCCCCTTCAGCCCCTCACGAAGCTGAGATGGCACCTGAGCCTGCTGGAAAGCTGCCTAGTGTGACCATCCCCATGGGATCCCCCCCTCCACATGCCTCCATTCAGTCTGCTCTGTCGAGCAGCTCCTTGCAATCTGTCAGTCTCAGGCCCCCTTGCCTCACTCGCTCCCAGTTTTGCAAAGGCTTTGCTCTCTTTTTCTCTCCTCCTTACTGCATGTGACACACACAAAACAGAGGTGAGAGCAACACATGGAGCCAGCAGAAACTCGTGTTGCAGAGGTGCCTCCCTGCAAGGAAAGAGGACAGCTCACTTAGAGGCCCACAAAAGCCCCAGAGGAGGAAAAGTAGCTTACTTGAGGGCCTCACATAGAATCATAGAATCACTGAGGTTGGAAAAGACCTCTAAGATCATCGAGTCCAACCATCGACCCAACACCACCATGCCCACTAAACCATGTCCCGAAGCACCTCATCTACTCGTCTTTTAAATACTTCCAGGGATGGGGACTCAACCACTTCCCTGGGCAGCCTGTTCCAATGTTTAACCACTCAGTAAAGAAGTTTTTCCTTACATCCAATCTAAACCTCCCCTGGCAACTTGAGGCCATTTCCTCTCGTCCTATCACTTGTTACTTCGGAGAAAAGACC